AAAAAATAAAAATAATATATAATATACAATAAAAAGTTATTCAGTTAGATTACGTAAAAAATAAAAATAATTGTGATAAATGATAATAATGGACAACATTAAAAATATAAAATGTATTATTGTATTATTGTGCACACAATAAAAATAACAAGAAATTTTGTTCCGATCATTTATCATTTTATTATTTGTCAATCGTACTAGGTAGGTATTTTATTGATTTCGATATGTGGGTAACGTCTTTATCTGTCGATAATGCGATTAACAGCTATTATACGTTCTGGACTCAAACTAATTGGTCAATCGGTATTACATCGAAATCGCGTTTATTGAGAGGACTACGTTACACCGACATTTGCTGTCTCCGTTTAAGATGAACAAATGTACAATTATATATACCTAAGTAAACTGTACAAAGTAAACTGTTCAAACTCTACAAAGCAAACTTTGGGGGATTTTTTTCCTATGGATTTTTTATCCGGAGGTTTTTTCCGGGGATTTTTTTCCTAGATTTGATAGTTTAGACTTCATGTTCATATTTTTAAATTAAATATGATTACCATATTTTATTTAGTAATTATATTGAATCTGCTTTAAAAATGTTAAGGGCACCTTATTGAATTTAAAATTATAAAATAAATGAATATTATTTTTAAGTCGCCAGCAAATATATTGTCATTTATTATCTCGTCAGCTTTAACCTATACCTATATTATGTTTATGAATATTACATTTTATTACGCTATACATTAACAAAGTTAAATTTTTAATGCTGGTCGAAGCGTTTTAAAATGACACAGTCAATTATACAGTTTTTCTGTCCACCAGGTAATACATTTTTTTTCTGACCAGTAGGTGGTGAAGTGGAAATACCCTAGGACAGATAGGTGGCAAATTATTTGAACGCTACATGCCAATATATATTTTTTTTCTTATAAGGAAAGACAATTTACAATCTGTACTCAAAAATTGTGCAACATTACTGTAATAACGTCGACTGGCAAATATATTATGTAATACAAATATTTTAATTTTTTGCATGCCCTCAAAATCTATATATTTGCCATCTCTGCCCTAGRATATAGATATTATACTAATTGACGAACGTCTGTAGAGATACCCCTCCCCATAACTCACTTCAAAGCTCTTCAGAAAATTTGCTGCTATATATCTTGCTGTTATTTTCAGAATTTGCTAGACTTATTTTTCTGGAATTTTTTTTACTCAAGGTGGCTAATTTTATGGTTTTTATTCTTGATTCCCCTCCCATAAATGTTGTGCCTTCCCTACAAAGAATTATGATTTTTATACATGCAATGCATGTAATGTCATGCATATATACAACTTATATAATATTAAATACCAATATGAGACATGTCATGACTGTGATTCAAATGTTATCAGAGAAATAAAATACCCTWACAATTGTTTTATGTTTGAGTAAATGGATGCAGGCTTGTATACCTTTCATTCTTTAATGATAGGATGATTAATACAGAATTAAATAATAAACGTGTATGAGCAAAAAATATTAATGACTCTAAT